CGTTGTCATAAAATAGCGGGAGAAAGAGAACTTTCTTTTGGTATTTTTTGGTTTTCATCCATGGAAAATACTCTAGAAGAACGTTGCAAATTACATAACGTACAATACAGCAAATTATTCAACTCATGCCATTACTAGACAATATTGTAAACTACGTAGGTACTTCCAAGATCAGTAAGTTATATTGAAAGGTATATGATAATTATCAGATAAAAGTATAGGTAGGTATTCTTTTATTTCAACTACATAACTATTTGTCGATAATTTATGTTTTAACTTTTATCGGAAATTCTCTCTTTTTAGTGCAAATTGAAAAAATCTAGGTATATATTATGTATTTGCATAATACCTAGATGTTGACCGACGCCTTCTGTCGGTGACTAATTTTATTACCTACACCACAGTTTAGACGTAATAGTCAAGGTTCTTCCTTCAAGATCACCGACCACAGTTGATTTTTCACTTGTACCGAATAGAATTTTTGGTGAAATGAAATTTAGTATAAAAAGGGGTGGCTTAACTCGAAAATGTATCAGTCGCAATCAGTCAGTCTCTAGACTCGCAACACAGACCTCTTAAAACAATCAAAATGTTCAAATTGGTGGTGTTGTCCGCTCTCGTTGCCGTAGCCATGGCTAAGCCCAGCTTACATCATGGAGAATACGCCGTAGCTACTCCAATTGTAGCCAAGACCTACGTTAGTCCTGCCGAAGTCAGCAGCACCTACAGGGAAGACGTCATCAGTAAACCAGCTCATGTCACCTACGCTGCTGCCCCAACTGTATATGCCGCCCCAGTTGCTGTTGCTGCCCCAGTAGTTGCTAAAACCGTAGTAGCTCCAGCTGCAGTAAGCCACACCTACAGGGAAGATGTCATCAGCAAGCCAGCAGCTGTAGCCGTCGTTGCTGCTCCAGTAACTTACTCTGCTTCGGTTGTAGCTCCATCTTCCTACGGTTACTCGGCCCATGTCCCATCCGCCTACACTTATGGTGCTCACGTTCCATCAGCTTACACCTATGGTGCCCATGTTCCATCTGCTTACACTTATGGTGCTCACGTTCCATCTGCCTACACCTATGGCGCTCATGTTCCATCTGTCCAGGCTTGGTGAAGAGAGGATTGATCAATTTTAGACTGTGTGTAAATATGCATAATTTATTTGGAAAAATTCAATAAAACTTTCGAACATATATTTGGCTGATATTAATTTAGTTGCCTTTTCCTAGTTGGTGCGATTTGAATTTTTTATATCATGCTCTCAGGTGTTACAGCTCATACACCGTGATGCATCTTTTTTTCCTATATCTTTGCATTCAAACAGTTTCTTTTCTGTTGGAGGAATTATGCTCCTGCATATTGGAGCTTGAAGTTCTTTGAAAATATACTTTGAAATTGAAAGAAAAATGATTAGTCAGTTTGTCTCAAGTCAAGTCTTTTGTGAATTTCCAGCGATAGAACTTCTCTACTGGACTCTACGATCCTTTCCATCATCGGTAACAGGCCGACATGATTGATTGAACCAAATCAGCTGCCGGTGCTTCTTTCTGGGCGATTTTTGCTCGAGCGACAAACTCTTTAGTCCACTTATTATTTCAGACAGCCTCTTCAGTTTGCAGGGTGTTCCACAAACTTGCAATTGACGCAAGTGACTTTCCGCTTTTCCTCATTCGTGGCCATCGGAAGTGTGCAGGATCTATAGCAATGTTGAGGCTATCAGCATCTGATGTTCTTTCCAGCTCGGACATCAAGATTTAATAGTCCCTTGACTTTCCAAATCTTCATTTCATTGGATTTACAATGAGAAGCGGAATCGGTTCATTCCTTCTCTTGTCAGCTAGGTAATTTCTGCGCTTCTTTTTTTTCCAATTCTTCTGCATCCTCTGCAATGGACGTATCAATTGGTTATTCACGGATTGCTGCGTACAGCGTTTTTCCTTCCTGCAACTCATATGGCATCCAAGGACTTAATCATAGCGCTGAAAGGTCTGTTCTCACAGAAATCATAAACCAGTCAGAGCATTTTTAATTAGTGCAAATGCCTAAGAACAAGTTTTCTGACTATTTTCAACCAATGCAATTCGCTCTGACTGGTTTGTGATTTCTGTAAGAACAGACCTTTCAGCGCTATGATTAAGTCCTTGGATGCCATATGAGTTGCAGGAAGGAAAAACGCTGTACGCAGCAATCCGTGAATAACCAATTGATACGTCCATTGCAGAGGATGCAGAAGAATTGGAAAAAAAAGAAGCGCAGAAATTACCTAGCTGACAAGAGAAGGAATGAACCGATTCCGCTTCTCATTGTAAATCCAATGAAATGAAGATTTGGAAAGTCAAGGGACTATTAAGTCTTGATGTCCGAGCTGGAAAGAACATCAGATGCTGATAGCCTCAACATTGCTATAGATCCTGCACACTTCCGATGGCCACGAATGAGGAAAAGCGGAAAGTCACTTGCGTCAATTGCAAGTTTGTGGAACACCCTGCAAACTGAAGAGGCTGTCTGAAATAACCAAAAATCGTGGATGCCACCAGAAAGGCCTTAAAAATTACAAGAAGTGGACTAAAGAGTTTGTCGCTCGAGCAAAAATCGCCCAGAAAGAAGCACCGGCAGCTGATTTGGTTCAATCAATCATGTCGGCCTGTTACCGATGATGGAAAGGATCGTAGAGTCCAGTAGAGAAGTTCTATCGCTGGAAATTCACAAAAGACTTGACTTGAGACAAACTGACTAATCATTTTTCTTTCAATTTCAAAGTACATTTTCAAAGAACTTCAAGCTCCAATATGCAGGAGCATAATTCCTCCAACAGAAAAGAAACTGTTTGAATGCAAAAATATAGGAAAAAAAGATGCATCACGGTGTATGAGCTGTAACACCTGAGAGCATGATATAAAAAATTCAAATCGCACCAACTAGGAAAAGGCAACTAAATTAATATCATATAAAGGCAGAACTTGCTCATTTTGTCAAAAATCTGGAGAAAAATAATGTTGAATGAAAGGCAGAAATTGTTTCACGAAGTTCGAGATAGATGCAGGCTAGTTGATTTTTCTAGAAAATTCGAATAACAAAACTTTATTAGACTTTTCTATGAATGAAAATAGACTGGTTTTGAAGTAAACATGCCGTTTCAAATACCAGAAGCCGTTATTGTTTTCTTAAAAATTAATTGAATACACTGGTTAGGGTGGCAAATCATAATTCGGAGTTTAAATTAGGGGAGATTTAAGTTAAATTGATTACATATCAATATCTCAGATCTTCAGGGTGTCTATTCTCGAAACCGAAGAACAGCGTTCTCATGAGAACGATTTCTCTGTCTTTGTCAATGTTATGGAAATATAAATATGGATGACGAAGATAGAACCTTCGTGTTGAGATGGTTGTTCATGTTCTTCCCAACTACCTTGACATTGTCGAATACGGTCTTTTTCGATCTCAACCACCCCTGACCTAGTCGGCTACTTATTTTGGAAAAATAGTTTAAATTAAATTTAGTTTATCTACTCTACAAGATTGGTACCTAAAATTATGACATTTGTGGGATGATTTGCCGAGGAAGTCATGGGTAAAGGCTTTTACCTACCATTTTTTTTACTGTTGAATGGGCAAATCTTTCTAAGCAACTCACCATATTGCTTTTTTTACCTTTTTTCAAGTATATTTTTGAAACTTTAGATGCTCGTAGGCAAAACTGAACCTCAAATGTGCAAAGCGCCTTTATCGCCCTAGGTGGTTGGACCAAGCTGCCGCTTCGTACGGTAAAGTATCACTTTCCGCACTTGTTAGGATGGATTACTACCTACTGTATATATACAGTGAGTTCATAAAGTCTTGCATAAATTCATTATTTTGAAAACGGTAGAGTTTTTGAAAAATCGCTCAGACACGTCAATTTTGTTTTTTTGTTTGAAATTTTTTGATATATTTTTTATCATACAGGGTGTCTCAAAAATAGCTTCGCTTATGACATTTCTGGATTCTACGGAAAATTCTAGACATATTTCATGTACAATGTCATATACCTATCTTCAATTGTTTCGGAAATATTGACAGTTGAAAATTGACTTTTTTGCACCCTGTATGATAAAAAATATATCAAAAAATTTCAAACAAAAAAACAAAATTGACGTGTCTAAGCGATTTTTCGAAAATTCTACCGTTTTCAAAATAATGAATTTATGCGGGACTTTATGAATTCACTGTATACATCAATAGTTCAAAGAAAAATAAGCTTAGAATTTTTATATCAATAACAGTCAAAATAAAAATATTAGTCCTCTCTTCACCAGGTGTGGACACCGTAAGCATTAGCGCCATAAGCATGAGGAGCATGAGAATAGGCGGATGGAGCAATAACGGTTTCAGCTACAACTGGACCAGCTATGTATTTTTGCGATACAAGAGCAGCGTATACTACAGCTGCTGGTTTATTGCTGATATCTTCTCTGTAAGTTTGACTTACGGCAGCTGGAGCTACTAAGGTTTTTGCTACAACTTGACTGGAGGGGGTAATGGGGGTAATTACCCCCCCCCCAGGATCCAAAATTCAAGGAAAAAATCACGATGCCCAAAAGAAAATACATAATAATATTAAAGAAAATACATTTTTTTTTGTTTTATTTTCCTCACAAAGGAAATTATTGTTCTGGAAAAGTGAATAACCTTGAAATTGGCAAAAAATTTCGCCTGCGGCGTGTTAGCGGGGGGTCTTCTTCCAATTCCCCCCCCCCCCAGACTGCAAGTCACGCGTCGCCACTGGCAGCAGCGAAGGTAACATGATCAGGTTTGCTGATAACATCTTCCCTATACGAGCTGCTGACTGCTAGGTCTTGTTAACAACAGGAGCAGCTACTAAAAGTTCTCTACGACTCAAGCTAGGCTTGGATACAGCCAGGGCTTAGACAAATAAGAAAAAAATACTTAAATGATGTTGTTTTTATTATTTTTCACAAATAAATTATATGTACACAGTCTGGAAATATTCAGTCCTCTCATTACCAAGCGTGGACAGCAGCTGGGGCATGGGCAGCGTAGGCGTAAGCAGCTGGAGGGTGAGCAGCATAAGCGTAAGTGGCTGGAGCGTGAGCAGCATAAGCGTGAGCGACAATAGGGCTGCTGACTACATCAGTTCTGTAGCTAGAGCTGAGAGCAGCTGGTGCGGCATAAGCAACTGATACAAATTTTTGAACTACTGGAGCGGCTACGACAGCTGGAGCTGCGTAGGTTACAGCTGCTGGCTTGCTGATGACATCTTCCCTGTAGGTGTGGCTTACTGCAGCTGGAGCTACTACGGTTTTGGCAACGACTGGAGCGGCGACAGCAACTGGGGCAGCATACACAGCTGGAGCAGCAGCGTAGGTAACATGAGCTGGTTTGCTGATGACATCTTCCCTGTAGGTGCTGCTGACTGCTGCAGGAGATACGTAGGTTTTGGTTATGATTGGAGCAGCTACAGCGTATTCTCCATGATGCAATAGGCTGGGCTTAGCCATGGCTACGGCAACGAGAGCGGACAACACCACCAATTTGAACATTTTCGAATCTTTCAAAGGTCTGTGTTGCGAGTCTAAAGACTGACTGATTGTGACTGATAAATAAACAAATTTAAACCAGGTTTTTATACATAATTTTATTTCGCTTGAAATGTATCAGTCTACGTCATACAGAGTATTGTTCGGTCTTGAATTCAAGAACCTTGATTTTTGCAAAAATGATGCCGATACTAATCAATAAGATTTTTAACTCGATAAAAAAAAACAAATTATACGTATATACCTACACATTTTTTTTAAGAACACGAAAGAGTGTAATATTTATTCAAATAGTGATTAGCAAAACAGTCTTTTTGGTTCTTATCAACGAATTTTACCTCGTAGTCACGCTACTCGTTAAAAATGCAGACAAGGTTGATCGTTAATTTAAAATTCTTTTTGCCGAACTGATTTACTTAACTAAATTTATTGCGATTGCACTACTTTACCTTGATTAAATTAGTTGGTAGCCCTTTCCCGTAACATATTGATCCGTGAAACCATAAGTACATATATATTTTTAATTTTTGTTGATTAAAATCCCATTAGTTATATCATCTACTAGTCCCCTCTATCAAAACTTTTAATCTCGAAGATCCATTAAGACATACTTTTTCTACAGCAGCTCCTCTGACGCCCAGCGCTAGTCCTTTCCAAACTTTCCTAATTTTTCTTTGGCAGTTTTCCCAAGTTTATTAATCTCCCTGGAAAGAAGGCATCTGGACCGAAATTTTGTACTTTATATATTGCTGCCCAGGGTACTCCATCAATTCATTTTAACTTTTATTATTGTTAGACATCATATCTTTTTCTTCTTTCCACGTCATGGACTCTATTTATTGCGGAGATATATAGAAGTTTAAAGTGGATTTTTTGGAATGGTACATTATTTTTCCATGTTGGTCAATAATACACTTATCAGAGTTAAACTTCTATTGTCTCTCTAACATGTACCAAAATTATCAAGATGATCTTATTTCTGGTGCATTCCGCGACAATCAGGTCAAGTTTGCGAGTTTACATAGAACGTTTGCATAATTATTTAATATTATGCGTGACTTAAAAGCCTTTGTTGTTCATTATATGAAAAAGTCATACGACAAACTTATTATTCCTTGTTGGCGATAGTGGATCAGAAATATATTATTGTTTGGCTTTCGTATAAGGTTAAAGGTCGCGCTTGAAAATCAATGGGTGTTGACCCTTACCTAGAGAATGGGAAATATTTTGCTTAATTGGTATATTTCCATGTTTATTATAAAATGTATTTGTATATAATATTGATTTTTATTGACTTTTTCTCTGCAGCTTTCTACAAAATGTAACAACCATAAGAATGATGCCCTCATTCAAGGTTCGACAGGTAGGTATATTGAGATGGTTAGAGGATTATGTTAGATATCGGTAATTTATTTCACCTACGACCATTACTGTTAATAGTAAAAATCATCCTTCCTTCCATCTATGTGAATAAAATTACACATGCAGCATGCGTAATGGTAAAATAAATCGCACAGGCAAAGACCAATCAGAAACCGGCTTCAGTCTTCAGTGTTGTTTTGCGGTTTCCTCAGTTTGTGTTGACAAAATCCTGATCGAAACTTTTCAACAATTCATCACGTAAGTTGCTGAATGTGCTCACGCAACCAGAAAGTTTCGAAGATATTCGCTGCTGCAATACACATGAAATTCAATAAATATGACCACAAGCGTGAATGGCCGTAATGCGTTTAATATATTCTATTTCTGATTAGGATATTGGCAAAGGAAAAATGGTGAAGATTTTGAACATTTTTATTTTAACTTTGAATTGTTAGTACCTACTTATGCTAGAGGTTGGCACGACCTCACAAAAATTAATACTAGGTATTGTTTTTGTATCTACAATAATAGTGAAATAAGAGACAGATAAAATATAACAAACAAGGGCCCTTAGCCCAAGTTTCAATGACGCAATATCAGAAATTCTGCAACCTGCAACGCATGAAATTCTAATTCATCTCATTAGCACAGATTATAATTAGTTCTAATTTCGAACAGGATTTTGTCAGGGGAGAAACGGTGAACATTTTGAACAGTTTTTGTAAGAAAGAAGGATTCAACAACTTGTGTGAAGACAGCAGACGAAAGATAGCAGATGACAAAGCCGAAGGTAGCCGATCGTAGATACACTGCCCAACCTAGTCTCATAGTCCACCTAATATTTTAATGATTTTTTATTTGAAAATATCTTATTTTATTCGGATGATTAAAGACTTTTTTGGTTATTATAAAGGTATTTGAACAAACGCCTACCCTTAGCCTAGCAAACAGAACAAAAAATTATCCGTAGTTCTTGAACCGTGAGATTATACATCAAAGTGAGGGTAGTTTTTAGTTGCTTTTGTGAGTGGGTAATAACCCCCTACCCTTGGTTTGGACTCGCAAGCCGTAGGGGAATGAAATATGATTTTTTTAAATTCCTAGCAGATGGGGACAGAAATAAGTTCGTAATTCTAAAACCATGGGATTGTACACCAAAGTGAGGATGGTTTTTAGTTGCTATGTGAGTGGGTAATAACCTCCTACCCTTGGTTTGGACTCGCAAGCCGTAGGGGATGAAATATGATTTTTTCAATTCCTAGCAGATGAAGACAGAAATAAATTCGTAACTCTAAAACCATGGGATTGTACACCAAAGTGAGGGTGGTTTTTAGTTGCTATGTGAGTGGGTAATAACCCCCTACCCTTGGTTTGGACTCGCAAGCCGTAGGGGATGAAATATGATTTTTTTAAATTCCTAGCAGATGGGGACAGAAATAAGTTCGTAATTCTAAAACCGTGGGATTGTACACCAAAGTGAGGATGGTTTTTAGTTGCTATGTGAGTGGGTAATAACCTCCTACCCTTGGTTTGGACTCGCAAGCCGTAGGGGATGAAATATTATTTTTTTAATTCCTAGCAGATAAAGACAGAAATAAATTCGTAACTCTAAAACCATGGGATTGTACACCAAAGTGAGGGTGGTTTTTAGTTGCTATGTGAGTGGGTAATAACCTCCTACCCTTGGTTTGGACTCGCGAGCCGTTGGGGATGAAATATGATTTTTTCAATTCCTAGCAGATTAAGACAGAAATAAATTCGTAACTCTAAAACCATGGGATTGTACACCAATGGAGGGTGGTTTTTAATTTCTATGTGAGTGGGTAATAACCCCCTACCCTTGGTTTGGACTCGCAAGCCGTAGGGGATGAAATATGATTTTTTTAAATTCCTAGCAGATGAAGACAGAAATAAATTCGTAACTCTAATACCATGGGATTGTACACCAAAGTGGGGGTGGTTTTTAGTTGCTATGTGAGTGGGTAATAACCCCCCTACCCTTGGTTTGGACTCGCAAGCCGTAGGGGATGAAATATGATTTTTTTAAATTCCTAGCAGATGGGGACAGAAATATATTCGTAATTCTAAAACCATGGGATTGTACACCAAAGTGAGGGTGGTTTTTAGTTGCTATGTGAGTGGGTAATAACCTCCTACCCTTGGTTTGGACTCGCAAGCCGTAGGGGATGAAATATGATTTTTTCAATTCCTAGCAGATGAAGACAGAAATAAATTCGTAACTCTAAAACCATGGGATTGTACACCAAAGTGAGGGTGGTTTTGTTTTTAGTTGCTATGTGAGTGGGTAATAACCCCCTACCATTGGTTTGGACTCGCAAGCCGTAGGGGATGAAATATTATTTTTTTAATTCCTAGCAGATGAAGACAGAAATAAATTCGTAACTCTAAAACCATGGGATTGTACACCAAAGTGAGGGTGGTTTTTAGTTGCTATGTGAGTGGGTAATAACCCCCTACCATTGGTTTGGACTCGCAAGCCGTAGGGGATGAAATATTATTTTTTTAATTCCTAGCAGATGAAAACAGAAATAAATTCGTAACTCTAAAACCATGGGATTGTACACCAAAGTGGGGGTGGTTTTTAGTTGCTATGTGAGTGGGTAGTAACCCCCTACCCTTGGTTTGGACTCGCAAGCCGTAGGGCATGAAATATGATTTTTTCAATTCCTAGCAGATGGGGACAGAAATAAATTCGTAACTTTAAAACCATGGGATTGTACACCAAAATGAGAGTGGTTTTTAGTTGCTTTATGAGTGGGTAATAAACCCCTACCCTTGGTTTAGACTCGCAAGCCGTAGGGGATGAAATATGATTTTTTTAATTCCTAGCAGATGGGGACGGAAATAAATTCGTAATTCTAAAACCATGGGATTGTACACCAAAGTGAGGCTGGTTTTTAGTTGCTATGAAATATCCCAAAAATTTCAGAATTCCTGCGTAAGATTTGCTCGTTAATTATCAACATAAGGCCATATCATCATGAAAAGTATGAACGGCTTTAATAAATGAGGGAGCGTAGATGAATTCACCTGTGTTGCCTAAACCATAAGGTTATAAAGACAGAAAAACCCAAGTAGGTTCACAATAAAATGGAGCTCCATCTATTGTCATATCCCGTCAAATTAAGACATAGTCATAATACGCTAAACATCACTATTCAATCAACGACTAAATTATTCAAAAAACCTTTAGGTTACCAAGCCTCAAAAATTTGCAACCAGGTTTCCAGCAACATTTAGTCCTTAATGTCCCAACATTTCAAATGAATCCCTTCCGATTATTACTCTCACGTCACGAGAATTCTCAATACATTTTTAGTTTTAAATGACACTTTGTAAATGACTCTTTATTTTTGTTGTAAAATAGGTACTAAGATACTCATTGTAAAACTCATCTCTTTCTTCTTAAGAACAGATTAGGCAAGCCAATTTTTCAAAAATATTGTAATTTATGCCTTTTTGTAAACAAAATGAAGGTTTTTTTTTTTCGCAAATAAATTTCCTTCCATTCATTATTATTATTATTGTTAATTAATTGAACATGCAACTATAGGTGCCCACTAAGATTTTAATGAAATAAAGATTTTTTTAAATGTTCATCTACATGTACTAGTAATTATTGAAAAAATCATCCCCTACGCCCTTCGGCCTGCGAGTTCAAACCAATGAATGGTAGGTGGTTATTACCCACCCACATAGCAACTAAAAACCACCCTCACTTTGGTGTACAATCCCATGGTTTCAGAGTTACGAATTTATTTCTGTCTTCATCTGCTAGGAATTGAAAAAAATCATATTTCATCCCCTACGGCTTGCGAGTCCAAACCAAGGGTAGGAGGTTATTACCCACTCACATAGCAACTAAAAACCACCCTCACTCTGGTGTACAATCCCATGGTTTTAAAATTACGAATTTATTTCTGTCCTCATCTGCTAGGAATTGAAAAACTCATATTTCATCCCCTACGGCTTGCGAGTCCAAACCAAGGGTAGGGGGTTATTACCCACTCACATAGCAACAAAAAACCACCCTCACTTTGGTGTACAATCCCACGGTTTTAGAGTTACGAATTTATTTCTGTCCTCATCTGCTAGGAATTGAAAAAATCATATTTCATCCCCTACGGCTTGCGAGTCCAAACCAAGGGTAGGGGGTTATTACCCACTCACATAGCAACTAAAAACCACCCTCACTTTGGTGTACAATCCCACGGTTTTAGAGTTACGAATTTATTTCTGTCCTCATCTGCTAGGAATTGAAAAAATCATATTTCATCCCCTACGGCTTGCAAGTCCAAACCAAGGGTAGGGGGTTATTACCCACTCACATAGCAACTAAAAACCACCCTCACTTTGGTGTACAATCCCACGGTTTTAGAGTTACGAATTTATTTCTGTCTTCATCTGCTAGGAATTGAAAAAATCATATTTCATCCCCTACGGCTTGCGAGTCCAAACCAAGGGTAGGGGGTTATTACCCACTCACATGGCAGCTAAAAATCACTCTCACTTTGATGTATAATCCCATGGTTCAAGACGTACGGATAATTTTTTGTTCCATTTGCTAGGCCAAGGGTAGGCGTTTGGTCAAATACTTTTATAATAACCAAAAAAGTCTTTAATCATCCCAATAAAATGAGATACTTATTTTCAAATAAAAAATCATTAAAATATTAGGTGGACTTTGAGACTAGGTTGGGCAGTGTATCTACAATCGGCTACCTTCGGCTCTGTCATCTGCTATCTTTCGTCTGCTGTCTTCACACACGTGATTCAACAAATGATTTTATTTTTTAACTTTTTAGTTTTACAAGACTGTAATCGCCAAAATAATTACATAAATTAATTTTTTATGTCCTTTCCAACACAGACAACAAGGTGCTGCAAGGCATAGGTATAGGTACTCTTCCGTTAATTTTTCCTCTTAGTGTAGAATTTCTTCCAGTTGCACAGAAGGCCTAAATCTAATTATCGAAAAACCGCGAAAAACGAGTTCCACAGAAGGTTTTTATTTGAATTTTATTTCATATTATATCACCCAAATTCTCTATAGAATAAAACTTTTTTCATATAACAAATATTAAATTTCTGTCAAAAAAAGCTCAACATTGAGCTTCAACAGCATTTTGATTTTTACACTATAATAAAACGTGATTGAATTGAATTCTTGCCTTTCGACGAATTTCTACAAAGGCCCGATTTTTTAATAAAAATCACGTGTCGCTTTTTAATCAATCACATGCCTGCCCTTCGCTAACGCCAAAGCAGCTGCTCAATTGGAAATCCCTACCTGGCTCTAGAGGGAAAAAGGCCACTTCGCCGTCGCTTCGTTTCAGAGAAAAAAAAAAAACCTTTTTTAATTATGTCCTTTAATTTTGAGTTTTGATTAGTTTTTTAAATTTCTTTTCTACGTGTGCCTTTTATTTGATGCAATTCGCCTAAATGACAATTGCTTGCATTGTGAATAACAAAAAAAAATAATCTGGTATATTTTACTAGAGAACGTATGAAACTGTACGCAGCAAAAAAAAATTATAATGTCACTATATCACAAAAAACAAATGTAAAATATTTATGTCTCCAATCAGGTCACTTAATCAATTGGACAGGTATCATTAAAAAATGTAACCAGAAACCGGGAAAAATAACAAAAATTAATTATTCGGATAAAGTAGTCTGCTTGCGTAAAAAAAACACACAGTCCTTCGTTCACCTTTTACAAAAAAAAATTATACGTTTGGGAATGGGCGTTGCCACATTGCCTTTGGCATTCCGCGTGCGATTTAATATGGTTGTTTTAAACCTTTGTGCAATGACCCACGTCACCGTGCTACTGAAATTTTGATCCTGTTTCGTGATGGCCAAGGTTTTTCGGTCTTTCAAGATCATTATTTCAATTTGTTTGATATAAATAGAGGATAATGGATTAATTTTGGTATCAGTCGCTTTCAGTCAGTCTTCAGACTCGCAACACAGACCTTTGAAAAATTTCAAAAATGTTCAAATTGGTGGTGTTGTCCGCTCTCGTCGCCGTAGCCGTGGCTAAGCCCGGCCAAGTGCGTCATGGAGAATATGCTGTAGTTGCTCCAATCGTAACCAACACCTACGTATCTCCTGCCGCAGTCAGCAGCACCTACAGGGAAGATGTCATCAGCAAACCAGCTCATGTCACCTACGCTGCTGCCCCAACTGTATATGCCGCCCCAGTTGCAGTCGCCACTCCAGTCGTTGCCAAAACCATAGTAGCTCCAGCTGCAGTAAGCCACACCTACAGGGAAGATGTCATCAGCAAGCCAGCAGCTGTAGCATACGCAGCTCCAGCTGTCGTAGCCGCTCCAGTAGTTCAAAAATTTGTTGCTGCTCCAGTTGCTTATGCCGCACCTGCTGCTCTCAGCTCCAGCTACAGAACTGACGTCGTCAGCAGCCCTATTGTCGCTCACGCCTATGCTGCTCACGCTCCAGCCACTTACGCTTATGCTGCTCACGCTCCAGCTGCTTACACCTACGCTGCCCATGCCCCAGCTGCTGTCCACGCTTGGTGAAGAGAGGACTGAATATTTTCAGACTGTGTATATATAATTTATTTGTCAAAAATAATAAAAACAACAATATTTGTTAAATATTTTGTTCTTATTTGTTTCCCAATTCTTTCACTAGCTCGCTAGCTGTCTATAGTCCTTTATAATTACATAAAATAGGTCAGCTTTTTTTTATGAAACTGTATAGCCCGAAGAAAATATAGTTCGGACAAAAGTTATCCAATGCTTTCCGTATTTATAATGCAAGAAAGGTGCATTGTTCGCACTTCTATTGAAAGTTTTTTAAATAGACTCGATTTAAAATTATTAAAATTGCTTGGAAATGGTTTCTTTTAGTAAAATTTAAACATCTTTCAACACAAAGGGCTATTTATAATCCTTTCATGGGCCATTCTGACTTCATAATTGCATAATATATGCACGAATAGGAAGCAAAAATTTAAATAAACCGCTTGATTGAAAACATCAAGGAAAAACCCTATAGTCGGGAGTTTTCATGGTTGCTGATTATAAATTTAACTAGAAAATTGGGTAATTTGAAATGGCTTACTGAAAATGGCGCGAATTTTGAATATGTAAATACGATTTCTTTTATGAATGGCTAATTTCAGTTTCTGTAAACGATGCTGCATGACTCAAATATATTTGTTGAATGTAATGTCGAAAATAAGAAAAAATTATAGACGTAATTCGTATAGGCTTTTCAATTTTCAGCGCTCTATTTTCATTTTGAAATTAAATTAAAATAACCCTGCAACAGAGATGTCCAAGCTTTTATTTTTATTTTGCAGCAGGTCAACAATATGATTTAAAAATTATGGGTAGGTATTCTGAAAATCCGATAGGCCATTTGCACATCTGTATACTTCGATTGATTTGAAATGATTTGGAAATCGATTGTCGATATCGATAGGATTTTGACGGTTCCCAAAAATGGAAAGATGTCGAATTTCTCATTAGTAAATCATTCCAAAATATGACTGTGTCGAATTAAAGTATTGTATAGTACTACAAAGTTTGGTACTACGAAGCAGAAACATCGTACATCTCTTAATTCTATTTTCTTTTGTGTCCGACGTGAATCGATCGAAACCCGTAACATCTGTTGTATTTTTATCCTTGTCTTTGATTAACAATTAGATACCTAAATACAAAAATATCCGTTGAATGTACTAAAAGTAAAACTCGTTATTTCACAGTTCACTGCCTATAGAGCCTATTTGCATCCTTTACTACGGTATAAAAAAATAAAGGATAGGTATATTCGATTAACTCCTGTTACCTAGTAGGTACAGTGAGAATCATTGCAATTGGCACACACTATATAAACATCCCCGTAATGTGTCAAAATTTTATTTCGTTGGCACCAATGAACTAAACAAACACACTGGAACAGTGGCTGCATAATGTTCCTACGCAAAGGTTTTGTGCCAGGAAGGACAACAAACAAGTGGGATTTGCATCTCTCTCTGCACTATGGCGGTTATTGAGAACAGCTGTTTGAAGTGTTTGGATCATTGAGGTTAGGAAGATGAAGAAGCTCTTCTTTCTTTTACCTACGTTAATCGCAATGAGTGCGAGCAAGGCAACAATCCCTCTGTATTGCTGGGTTGCATATATCAAAATTCGGCACACTAGCATAAAGCAGTGCGCCCGTTCCAGAGTGTTTATTTAGTTCAATGTTTGGCACACAGGTAATGTCAAAATCGTGTCAGATTGATAAATCAGTGGTAAATATAATAGTTTTAATAAACTTTTAAAGGAAAAAAATATTTGTACACAGGTGCACTAAAAAAAATTCATAGTCAAAAAATATCATAATTTGCCAATTGCCATATCCCCAACTCGTGAAAGTGGCCTAATATCGATGACATTCAGGCCACTGATGTACCTATCATTCTTTGGTATGTGAATAGGCATAATAAGCCTAAGATTCTACGCGGCCTCTCAAATTAAAATTCTGGTTCTTTGGCTCTAAATCACAGGATCCGGGTAACCATTTGATGTCACCCCGAGACAGAATGGAACCTTCAACCTTTTCACGCAATGAAGTCCATGTATCGTATGGAATATGGCACGTAGAGCCTTACTGTTGAAACATCATGTTTGTCGGATCTCATCCAATCCAGGCCAAAAACAGTTTAGTGGGTGGGGGGGGTTTAAAGAGGGTTTTTCAACGAAAATGTATTGTTATTATGGTCATACTTAAAGTCCCATAAAATATTACAATGGCAAGTTAGAAAAAAATGGCCGCCATGTTGTTGTACATAAGTATCTTAAAAAGTATGAACTTTTTGATAAATTGTCAATATAATTACATTTTTTATGGGAAATGAAAAATTACCTACATTAAGTGTTGACCCATATCACATAATTGATAGCTTTGATAAACAGCAAAAAACAAACGTTTTTCAATTCTCTTCTTCATATGTGTTATTTTTCAGTTGGGTTTGTTCACTTCAAAGCTATTGTTACTTGAATTGATTATGTTGGACCTTATATGTTTCTATTTGTCGACGAATAAATAACTAGCCAATTTTTTTCTCGTCAGATTGCATTATCTATCAGAAGTTGAATAAACCGGCCCTAAAGTAGTAGGCGCAAGAGAGCCATAATTTGGCGAATGGGAAACAGCTAGCAGATCCAACGATTCTTTAGATTGAAAAACCACAAGACAGATACTCAAGAATAACAACCAACTCAACAGAAAGTTTTGAGGATGAGAAACCACACAATAAATTCACCAGAAATTCTTGAAATAGAAAAAAACATTCAACCGAAATATCTGAGAATCAGAAACCAAACAACAAATCTACCGAAGATTCTTGAAAATGAGAAAGTGAGAAACATCCAATAGAGATCCTTGAGAATGAAAAACTGCTCAAGAAATATTTTTGCAAATAAAAAACCAACTAGCCAGATTCAACAGGGACTTTTATTCTTTGGGATTGGGAACTACGACATATTCAACAGATAGTCTTCCTTCAGAATGAGAAACTAATGACGGATTCTCAATGAATGACAACCAATTCAACAGACATATCTTTGAGAATAAGAAACCACGCAATTAATTTACCAGAAATTCTTGAGATTGAGAAAATATTCAACCGAAATATTTGGAAATCAGAAAGTAAACAACAAATCTACCAAAGATTCTTGAGAATGAGAAACATCCAACAGATATCTTTAAAAATGAAAAACAGCTCAACAGATATTTTTGCAAATTTAAAACAAACTAGCCAGATTCAACAGAGATTTTTATTCTTTGGGAATGGGGAACTACGAGAGATTCTACAGAGATTCTTCAGAATGAAATAATGAAAAACTAATAACAGATTCTGAAGAACGATGATCAAAACAGACATCTTTGAGAATGAGAAACCACATCAATAAATTCACCAGAGATTCTTGAGAATGAGAAAACATGCAACCTAAATATTTGAGAATCAGAAACCAAACAACAAATCTACCAAAGATTCTTGAGAATGATAAACATCCTACAGAATTCTGTAAAAATGAAGAACAGCTTATCAGCTTTTCATTGCGAATGAAAAACAAACTAGCCAGATACAACAGAGATTTTTCTTATTTGCGAATGTCACTACGACAGATTCAACAGAAAATTTTCAGAATGAAAAAAATTAAAAACTAATAACAGATTCTCAAGAATGCCAACCAACTCAGCAAATATCTTTGAGAATGAGAAACCACACCAATAAATTCACCAGAGATTATTGAGATTGAGAAAACATTCAACAGAAATATTTGGGAATCCAAAACCAAACAACGAATCCCATTTTTGCAAATGAAAAAGACTAGTAGACTCGTTCGTTCTTTTTTATTTATAGATTTTGTCATAGAGATTCCCATTCGTTGTAATAATATCGTATTGGTAGGCATTTATTTATTGACCGATTTATGATTTATAGTCATGTCAGTGTCTTAACACGTTGAAGGACAGAGACGCAGATCAGCATCATTTCCTGAAGTTGTGATGTGACACAACGCTGATATGCATCTTCATATTGATGGTTGAAAATGATACGACGCCCTTCAGCGTTTGTATCTACCATACAATTTAATGTGAATCCAATCGCCACTGTCTCAATACGTTCGAATATCAGTGCCGTAGTGTCACACATTTGAAATTTATTAACATTCGCAGTCCCCCTCCACAAATAGAAGCAGAACGTCTTCCAGCGTTTGCATAAATTGGTATCTTACAAAAATGTTCACTGTCCTTCAACGTGTTAAACAATATGGCATGGATTTTTTGGATAACATAATTGCAAATCAAATTTTAAACTTTGTTAACTAAATAGAAAGTATAGAGAATATTAAAAAAAATCAAAAAAATACATTTAAAAATAATACCTAACTTGAAAGTTGTCAAAAAACCCGAATGTTTTGGAAATAAATGCAAAAACTTGAAAAATTCACAATAGTGTCGATTTTTTTAAACTTGCCATTTTTAGATTGGATGGGACTTTTAGTATATTATTTAGGACACCTGTCTCTTTAAATTTCCACCATTAAACATTTGTCTTCAACATATTCCACCTTACTACCCAAAATCTGCTAATTTGACTACACTAGTTGGTTATCATCACCCCTACTTGATCACCATTGATAGTGAGTGCGACTTATCCAATGATTCCGTCAGACCAAAACGTAGAGTTTCCTATTCTGTCAATGATGACGAGATTCGTCGTGCAATTTATACATTCAAACATGGTTTTGTTGGTGCTTTTGATGGTTCACGGCCTCAATATATAATAGAATTCGAATGGTAATAACATTTCGTCTGCGCACTTGTTATCCGCTATTGGTGGTGTCCTCGATTTGATTTGTATTTGTATTCTACTCTACGGAACTTCAATATGCGATCTTATGAAAAAATATGGTGGAATTAAGCCAATAGCAATCGGAAATACTATAAGAAGAATTGCTGGTAAAGTTGTCAGCAATCGTGTTCAATGCTCAGGAATTTATTCCCGAATGTTATCAGTTTTTCTGGCAACAATATCGCTACCCTTCTCAATTGAGATACCTTGAACAAACCATCGAGTATGCTTGGGGACTCTAACAAAGTGATCCAGTTGCACTACTAGGATTCTGCATTGCTATGGTATAGCACGTTTAACGCAATGAATAAAT